TCGAATGCAGCCGTCCTACCCCAGCCTATGAATTCGGAGTATATATAAAATAAAAAATACTAACATATGCATTTTAAAAAGCACATCTCAAAAATATTAATAATATAGTTTATAAATAAAACATAGGCAAATATTATTCTACTAATAACATCGATATAACTTCAAATAATTAGAAATGGGTACTTTTTGTAATAAGAAAATACTGAACCCTGCTTGACGTTCAAAATGCATATAATGCAATACTAAGTGCAAAAAGATAATAACACCAAATATATTAATTGTCGACATAGAGTGTATAATCATTAGGTTTAATAGGTGGGATTCCCTTAGTAAAAGTAAATGTATGAAAGGGCGCTAAGCTACTTTGCCAACATCAAGTCATTACATTTAATTATACCCCTCGCCCCCCCTTCCCCAGTCTACGAATTTGGAGTATATATATATATATATATATATATATATATATATATATATATATATATACTCCAAATTCGTAGTATATAAAAACCTAGAGTATATAAAAACCTGACAGACGTATTTGAAAAATAAACTTCTCAAAAATATAAGAGGCGAGATAATAGGAAACATACTCTTTCTTTTTTAAATACTAGCAATGCTATTGACATTACTTATATTCCCTTTAACCACTATAAGGTAAAAATGCTTATTAAAAATGGTTGCTTAGGAGCGGGTAATGACAGTTGTCGAATGGCGGATACAACCCACAACCTTTTAAGTTCGCGGTCCGCATCCTGTCATTAGATTATTGTCGCTTACTACACTGTATTCTATCTCATTCTCTCATAGACTAAATCATATAGATGTATATGTTTGTCCCTTTTTAATGTCCTTTTTCGTTTCATAGAGTTTCAAATCACAACGATTCTAAAGAAATATTCACTTCAAAAAATAGGTGAACATAGCTCACCATATAACCACAGAGTAAGGAACAAAATAAAAGTTTCCTAACAACAGCATGTGAAAATTTAAGCAATTATCTCAATAATTATAATTATTCAAATTTTTTATTTTTTTATAAAGAGAATTCGCCTATATATTTTGCATATATAAATATAAAAGAACCCTCTCAGAAATGAGAGGAGGTCTGTATCCAGCAGTGGGACGTATAGACTGTAACATTAACCTTATATAAAGGTAGGATAAATCTTGCTTATACAGAACATTAATTATTTACTTAGATAAATATATATTGTCTTATTTTATAATACAGAATCACTAAACTTAACTCTAACTGTAAAAAAAATTAATTAACTATAATGTCACGAAATATTGTTAGTCTATTTATTTAAATACGCACGAACCCTTTCGTTCACACCCTGCACAGACTAATATGATGCTTACGCATATATCCTGACTGAGCCGGCGCGGCGCATACTGGTTTTTACCCAGACGAAGTGTCTGTGATCCTGTCGGTTAGAGCTCATGCACACATCGCTGCGCTATGTATACCCATAATATGTATGTTCTTAATACTTTGCACGCTTCGGAAGTGACCTTCGTGAAATTAGCTTACCGTTTATTTTGTCGAAAAAGGTTTAACGGCGCGCGAATGAAATCAAAATGCACCTTACGTCCGCGTGCGAATGTCTGTATCACTTAGCCCTTTACGCGCATTTGTTAAGGGCGCCCTTACTGTAGGGTTATGTGTTGTGAGAAAACAAATTGCATCCTTTGATATTAGTTGATATATTGTAGAATACACCGAGGTGTTATGCAGTGTATTAGTATTTCTTTTATTTTGTTAAAAAAAAAACGTTACCCCCACACTAGGATTTTATCCTGTATCATGGTGGCAATTAACAAACATAAATTGCACAAGGACATACATGTAGACCCGTAACAATTATTTGTAGGCCATACAAATACTTGTTCCGTGCGGGATTCGAACCCGCGGGCCCAGCGTTGCATTTCATTGCTAAGCTACTGCGCCACGGAGTCGTCACTTGTCTGTTTCACACTTTTTGCTATTTGCAAACATGCGACACGCGACTTCATTATTAATGAAAGAGTGGCAATGAGAAGTGCTGCTATTTTAAATCTCTTTTATCGATCAAGTGTTAAACTAATAACTAGTACACGCTGATCTTGCATTAATAGGCAGTCACTAGTACTGGGAGGTCTACTTACACTGAACCTCTTTTTAAAGTCACTGACATTGTACGCGAAAACAATCGAAAACTGCGAAGCTGTGGTCGGGTCACTTATCAAATAATAAATCCGTAGCTATGGCGTCAGTAACTATGTACCTAATTATCTTGATCTACCAATAAATGATAATATATTACTTTTTGGTATCCTTAGGAACAGTAAAGAATGAAAAATAGACATTCCTATAGTTATTTAAGCACCCGTATGCTATGCAGTACCTTTTGGCTTTTTAAGAGGCTATACTTGAATAAAAATTCAAAAATAAATATCAAAAGTGCCTAAATGCACTTAATATTGCATTTTATACGTTTTTAACAATGGTACAGTTATATCCAAGCAGGGTGCAATTTTTTCATGTTGTATAAAGTACCGCGTGACTAACTTTGATTAGTCATTATAAGCGTTAGCTAGTGACGTACATTTTACTGACAAGGACTATCGAAAAAAGATTATTAAGGAAGCAGTAAAAAGATTTAAAAAATTGTTAAGGGCGCTAAAAACTTCAAAAATTAACTGAATTTTTACCATGACTGTTCTAAAATAATTAAAAAATATTCATATAACATGTTCCTGGGAATAAGCTGAACCAACCTGCAATTTGTTGGATTTTAATTCAAATGTATAAAATCCCAAATGACTCTACCGAAAAAACTAAAAAAGAAACTCCCCAAGATCGGAAAGTAGTATTTTCGAGCTATGATCTTTGGAGAAAAATATTAACTGCCATGGACAGTTTCCCCGGAATTTCTTTTTTAACATATTGTTAATACAAATAGGTAGATACTTCACTAAGTATATACCTATTTGTATTTTATATATTTTATAAAATGTTTTCATGGGGAAATAAAAAATGGGGACACGGACTGCTTTATTTTTCATAAAAGTATCACTTTTAATATTTTTATTTAATAATTAATAATTAAATACATTATAAGAATTTATTTTGACGTAAAGATGAATGTAAACTTAATAATTTAAGTGAGAAAACTTGTAGGAATCAGTTCAGCCTTTAAGGCCATTAAACTTATTATCATTTAGCTGCATGAATTTTAAAAACATAATGATCTTAACAGAATAAAGTGCACCAAGTGTCTGAATCTATGGTTTACCTTATGTCACGCATAAAATTTATAATATATAACAATTTAAAAAAAATATATTTATCGCTACATAATTTATTGTTGGCGACATGAGATAATTTTTCCTAAAAATAAATAAACTTTTTTAAAAACAAACTTTTATTTAAATGCGCTACAAATAATAAAATAAACCTACTTTAAAACTTTTACTAACAATGATCAACTTGTAACATTTATATGATAAATGGTTGTCGCGAGAGTTAAGTACTCGTAATTACTTAGTTTGAAATTTTTAAAAATTAAAATCAATAAGATCACGTTATTTAATTAATTTGTTCATCTACACAAGTAAATCTCGCTACAAGCTTTTATGTTATATAAATTGTGTGAAACGTGTAAACTCGCTTCGCTCTTGCGCTAACTTCACACGGTTCATGAATTGGCTACTTAAGGTGGAAGCTCCAGGGTGGCCCGCGAAATTCAATTTTTCTTGCGTTTTTTGTATGGAGTGTAGAGAGAAGGAGGACCATCTCTATATAAGAAAAGTGTCCCTAAAAACGTGTCCAATAAGGTTGGCACTGCAGTAGCATAGGATAAATTTAAAAAATAGCGCCAAAATTAGAATAAGATGGAGAAATAAACAAGGACCGACAAATCTGCTTGGTTTTGTACTACGTAAATAGTTGAGGTTTTGTATACTGGCATTTTACTAACTACTTATCATGATTTTTTTTAAATATTGAATTCAACTGACTTCACTCCGTTCACAACAGCTACTTTCATATCGTAGTTTTTCAGACGCCAGCGCTATTGTGGTAGGTTTTGGAACCTCTATTTTCAGTAAATAGTAGGACACTTTTTCAACTTTCGCCCCTTATAAGATGGTTCTCCTTGTATTCTACACTCCATAGTTTTTTGGAATTTGCAGGTCAGGGTCAGGTTGTATGTTTAACAAAATATGATTATTGTCAACTAGTGACATCTGATGAGCGGAAAATTATTAGCGCTCATTGATAAGCCTATGGTCAGTATTAATGTATTAAGCTATTTTTGTGTTATATTGTAAAAGACATACATACATACATACATATAATCACGCCTTTTTCCCGTAGGGGTAGGCAGAGACCAGTTCTTTCCACTTGCTACGATCCTTACATACTTGTTTTGCTTCGTCCACTTTCATTATTCCCTTCATACATGCTCTACGGTTTAGGGTACTCTTGACCTGGCCTTTTTCAAGACGTCCCTGATTTGGTCTAGAAATGTCCGCCTAGGTCTACCCCTTCCAACACATTCATTCACACTCGCCTTATACACTTTTTTCGTCAATCGTTCTTCATTCATTCTCTCGACATGGCCAAACCATCTCAGCATACCTTTCTCAATTTTTGTCACTACATCTTCTTTCAGACCAAAAAGACGATCCTGATTAATTTTATTTCGTATATAATATTACTTAATATTCATATCTAATATCTTTCTATCATTAGTATCTGGAGAATTCTCTATTAGCTTACTTATTTTTAATTAACATCTGGTAGAAAGATTGGTATATAGAGCCAAGAGAGTTTTTAGAAAAAAAAAATTATATTGGATCTAGATGTATGTTCCTTGATCTAGATACCAATCCTTTTTAAGAAAAAAAAAATTGCTTGACGTCATGCGAACGATGAATATACTTTAGTTTATTGGTGTCGTTTTTAGTGGTGACATTAGTGGATAATAATTAATGTGTTTAGTGAAATAGCGAAAATGGAGACTGATTGGAATGTAGAAGATCCGCCGACACCAAAGGTATTTTCGTGAAAATTAATTGGAGCAATGTAGTAATATCATGGCATATCCGCCATCTTTGTCACTCAACACCCATCCAGTTTGTAAATTAATAATTTTCGAAAAAGGATTCACCATAGTCCTTTAATTTTAAAATTTTATCTTACACGTATGAACTATATCAATTGATGAAAATTTGGAAATCATTGTATTAATTTATGGTTCTGCATTGCGGATATATTCGCCAACTTTTTTTTAACCTAATTTTAGCTTTGAAACTTTATCTTTGTTATTCTGTTAAATTAATGTTTAGTAGATGAAAGTATTTCAAAGTATAAAACTGTCCTATTCTGTGTAATCGACTTTAACAACATTAGCGTCATAGCAACGAATAAAAAGAAAACAAAATGTTGGCACCGAAGAAATTTACTAAATAAAACTTCTCATGTAACTGAATAAATGTCGTGTCATCCCTAAATTCCTTGCTTTCTACTCCGTTAACCATAAAATAACTGTAGTAAGTAGTAACTGTACATTACATATAGTAACAAGAAATGCAGTGGTGTGCTACTTTCCATTGATGTCGCAATTTCGATAGTTGTTACTGAAGACAATACAAGTGTGCGTGATATGATATAATGTTCCTAATCCTTACACACTGTTTTTAATGATAATGTTGTGTAAACAGTCTAACCCAAAAAATGTAGCTTGTTATTTAATATAAATGGAATATATTTCACAAAGTATCCAGTTCTTATGAATAAATCACCAAAGCTAACATGCTATCAATAAAAATTTAACCAATTCAAACATGTCTACTTAGTATTTAAGAAAAGAATACTAGTAACACTTAACATTACTAATACTCCTATTACCCATTCCAAGCCAGCTTAAATGCTTGTTTTGGGAGTGGTTCATGAGAGAAGTGAAATGGCAGATGCTTTGTGTTCCGTATCCCATAACTATTAGGCCATTGTCAATTTTTTTTATAGTAAAATTAGTGATGCAATCTTATTTTATTATAAAATTATTTTAGTTTTTTTTTTATAGGATAGGGTGACAAACGAGCACACAGTCCACCTGAAAGCTGCGTTGTCACCTATAAGGACTAAGATGGAATGCTTTTTTTCCAGTGAAAAGGGTCTCCCGTTCTCTACACTCACCATACGAAACACATCAGTGTTAAGCTGGTATTCTGTGAGAGCGTGGTCTTTCCCTGGTCGAGCTGACCAATTCGTGCTACAACTATACTACTAATATAGTTACAGTATAGCTCTACCACGTATAGTGGTCAATTTATTTATAACATGCTATAGTGGACTCTGAAATATCATATCAAAGTAGTTTAAGCAATATATGCAATTTTATTATATGTTTTGTTCTTATATAAAATTACTGATTATCACTTACCTAAATTAAGTATCTATATCTGTCTGTTTCTGTTGATATTAATGGAAGAGAGAGGAATAGAGACCAACTTTAAACATTTCTTTTTAAAAAATTGGTAGATTTTTATGAGTAAGGCAGTTTATTTTATTGAAGTTAGTCTAAAACAGGGGTTCCGAACCTGGGGGTAATTACCCCTGAGGTGCTAAATTAGCTATTCTACAGAAGTATAAAAGAATGTAATAATTATTTCTTATATACTTGTAGAATGTATAGAGAGTAGACATGGGACAAGTACTCGATTTGGATTCGGTACTCGGCGGTTTCGGTCTTATTTTAGGGTTCGGCCGAGCCCCGAGTATTAATGGCCGAGTAATGAGTACTCGGCCTTAATTACATTCCAGAGAAAAATAAAGTCAAAAAGCCAGTTTTTATCGTTATTATTATATTAGACACATTAAAACATCAGGAACGTGAGAAGCAGTAGAGATATTGGGTTGGCTTTAGTAATCTGCAGCACGATTTAAGTGATCATTTTAGCTTTAGGTGATAGGCAATGATTCTATTGATTACCATCTAGCTGCTTTTTATGCTGGAAATCTTCAGGATATCGATAATTAGTTTTGAGGTTAAAAATGACTGACCACTTAAAAATGATACAAAAATGAAATAACGAGATAGCACTAAAGAATGGTCTGTATCTGTTTTGAAAAATAACATGCAATTTTAGCTGCCGGAGCTGCCTCTAAATATTTAAAATTATTTTCTAAAAATATTCATAAATCACTAATTAATACCTGAAACTGAACTTTTGACATTGACAGTAACAGATATATTCGACCAAAGAGAATATAATCACAACGTTTTATGTTTATTTTCGTATTCGCGACTCGCGTATAAGCGTCATTCCGTTACCTCCGGGCTTACGTGAATGTGATCCTTATTGTTATTATCTGTCTCCTCTCTGTTTTTCGACGACTTCGCTACCTCTCTGGAGACCGATTGCTTGCTATTTTACGACGTTTTTGGAAATGGTGGAGGTAATAAAATATGTTTATTTATTAAAGTAATCGGACAGGTTAGGTTAGAATCTCCATCCCCTTCGTGGTTATTTTTTTATAAACCACCCAGAAATAGGAGCCCCATGTATGCATAGCATAGCATGCATATCATGCATAGCATTCCATGTCTAATAGACAGTAAAAATGTATGACATATCTGCACTGTGCAATTTAACTATTTCTAGTAGCCATGTTGTTGAAATGCCATGTAGGTGAGGGAGGTAAAGCCCTGTGTGTGGGCAGTGTGTAGAGGGTGTGGGGAGGGTCGAAGCCGAATTTGTATGTTAGTACCAACAAACAAGAACAAATATTATTAGCTATTGTTTTTGTTTCCCAACATTTTTACATAAAAGTGATCTACTTTTTCATTATCCTTAACATTTATTTAAGATTGTTTTAACCCTTTAACTGGTAGAGGAAACTAGCCATGCAGTTGTAATGAAACTCAGATATATTATGTAAGTATGTATTGTAAAAAAGAAAAAGTTATGATTTTTTTTTTTAAAAACTATGTTGGCTATATAATTGCCACTACTGGTCAGCACACATGTGAAATTGTTTGAAACATGGAACAGCACAAAGAGGCACTTCACATTTACCACATTGTATGTTGGATCTTTTGTTCTTAGTTGCGCTGCTGCATACTCTGCAGCGCCTGTATGTTTCTATGGCTTCTGGTAAGTGCTCACCAACATTGGCGAACAAATATCTTCAGGTACACCAAAAAGTTTCTTCTGTCGAGTGAGTACCTCTGCACTAGCCTTCCTTTTCTTTGCTAAGAGTAGGAGCAGTTGAAAATTTTCATTTCCGAAATGTCAAATTGTTTACTAGTTCTCTGGCAAGAGTAAGCCTGAACATCTTTTGGCTCATGGGATTGTGTACTTTTGAATTCTTTGAGTACAATATATGCACATTTGTGATTGCTACATCGAACAAGAAAAAAAATAACCGCTTCCACCATTTCTTGCTTTGATGAGCGACATCATAAGTGGCTTTTTGCTGATCAAATTTATCAACCCCGCCCATTTGCTTCGAGTACTCTACAACTGAGCATGGACAGGGAAAAGGTCTATTGCTTCCATCCTTTTGTGTACGTTGACATGTAGCCTCTTCTTTCGGGTGAAAGGCTGTACTCATAATGGTCACTAATTTTGTGTCCTTCCAGATCGAAAACCCTACGTTGTTCCGAACTCGCCACTTGTACTGCCCTTTTTGTAGTTTTTTCAGTTTTTTATTTTGCCTCTTCATGATTTCGCCGCAATTTCTTAGACCAGTAGGTTCTTCTTCTTCTTCTTCTTCTTTACTTTTTGGCTTCTCTTATAAGAATTCTACCAATGTCAAGTCAGTCATGGGAGTGACAACAAGGTAAATAAATTTATTTTTTATATAATTTGTTTAAAAATTTTTTTTTTGTGATTGGCTTCTAATCAAAAGACAACACAAACATTTATAATTCTACCACCAACAATGATTAGTTTTATGTTACAACTTAATACTATTAGTATAAATAAAATCACATAAAATATGAACAAATGAGGAGAACACGAGAGACAGCAGACAGGTAGAGTTAGTAGGACGAGGGATGTTTTGAGGAAGGATATCATACAAGGAGTACTTGAGTCGAGGACATTCGAAAAATATGTGATCGGTTGAACCTTCATCAAGACCACATTCACATAAAGAATTATCCCTTATCCTTAATTTGGCTAGGTGTACCGGTGTGCAAGAATGACCAAAGCGAAGACGGCAAATAGTTGATGTAGTAAATTTGTTAGCTTCACTATAATGGAAAAACCAAGGTTTGTATGGGATTGTGTCTTGAACCCGAGTGTAGTGTTTACATTTTATGATTTTAGTTTGGTCCCAGAGACCTTGCCAAGATGCCATGAAGTCAGATCCTGCTAGTGGAAGCAAGTCATGGGGGAAAATTTGATACTGAGAGAGGATACCTGTTCGTGTTGCTTTCTTAGCCAAGAAATCAGCACACTCATTACCACGTATCCCAAAATGGCCTGGAATCCAAGCCAAAACAACTTTTAGGCCTTTTTTGTGACAATTATATAATGCTTTTTTAATAAAGAGGATAGGGAAAAGATTTGATTTAGAGTGGAAGGAGCTGGAGATAATGGTTTGGAGACAGCTAAGGGAGTCAGAAAGAATTAAGGTATTTTCCAGGTTGTGAGATTCGGCATATAGAATTGCCTCTAAGATGGCAATAGATTCACCTGTGAGAACTGATGATTCAGGTGGGCACTTAAAATTTAATATTATTCTATATTTAGGGATCCAAACTGCAGAACCTACACAATCTTTGTTAGAAGTTTTTGAAGCATCTGTGTACATTATGATCCAGTCTTGGCAATTTTCTGAGATGATTTTCTTTAATTTGCTGTTAGGATCAATGGTTTTCTTGTCAAGTCCAAAGTCAAGGATGACGTTTGGATTGAAAACTAGTGCTTCGTAGGGAGTGGAGAAGAGTAAGTTGTTGCTATTTTGGAAGATTGCAGTTTGAATGTTTACAAACTTTATATAGCTTTTTAAAAGACATTGTATATCTTTGTGTCGCCAGTATGG